CATATCACCTTACCTATGACACTATAACACTTTACCTATCCCACTTTAATTATCACACTTCAACTATAACATTTTACCCATAACAATGTAATTATAACACTTTACTTATCCCGCTTGAATTATCGCACTTTAATTATCACACTTTAATTATAACAATACAACAATATAACACTCTACCTGCGCCACTTCAATTATCGCATTTCCATTGTCACAGTTTGACCACAACACTTCAACTACAATACTTAAATATACTAATTAATTCGCCCAACATCCTACTTACAAATCGACCATTAGCCTCGATAACGATCGATCCCACAGTAATTATCAGATCGCGCCTAACACCTAGAACAAGCAGCGATAATGATCGGGTTAAACAGTCGAAGCAAACTAGCATGCACGGACACGAACGCGAAAGATCTCCGGGCAACGCAATTACCATTTAAATGCAAATAGGCGGGCATTCCCATAACGAGGTGGACCGGTTAACTGGTGAATTTTAATTTCGGCTAGGAAACGCTTTATCCTAATTAACCGAGGCCACGTAGTTACGTCGTTCTTCGCTTTTTCCAGGCCACCACTGACCTCTACGGGGAATGCACCAGGACGCACAGCGGGACGTCAGCCGCTGCACCGGAAGCCGCCGGCGTATTTGCTCTGGCCCTTGAAGCTAAGTGAGTTCTTCAGTCGACATTTTATACTATTTTCCTGTCGAATTTCTTCCATTCCTAGCTCCACTGTCGCGCAAGAATCATGTTTGATTTTCGTCACGAGACATCCTTGCTACGTTTCTGCCGGTGTCTATTTGAGAAACGTTCGTGCAAACACGATGGCAAAGATGATGAAGTGCGGAATGATTTTATTTCGCAGCTGAAATGTCCGCGTTTCGGGGATGGGTGCATCCTGGAGATGTTCTTCGAACGTTTCTATCAGGATCTGGCCGGGGTACTGTAAATTTTTCCCTATTTTCCTTCAGCTTGTGAACTAAAATGGACATTTTGGGAAAAGCAGCTACGATTATTCGAGCTTTGCGCGTCGTTTTTGCAATTGTTGACAATCGGCAACTATAAAAATGAGTCGCGAGGCTCGAATAATCGTATCTCCTCTTCCCGAATTGTCCATTTTCGCTTACAAGTTGAAGGGAAATTGGGGAGAATTTACGGTATAAATTTTGAAGTAAAGTATTCATTTCTTAATGTAGAATTAAAGTCGAAGTGGGGAATAATTTTATTCGATGGTTAAATTATTGACATTTTCATGAACATGTTCTATAATTATTTTACACGTTTGAGTTTTGCTGTAAACATTGCATCGATTCCGATGTTCCGTAAATGTTTTTTAATTTAATCTATTTGAGAAATAAAGGTTTTGTGAATGATTATTCAGAGACAAAATCAAAGGTAGGATAAATTATATTATATATTTTTATTTTTACTTTTTTAACATTGCATTCGGAACATATTTCTAAAATGTTTCTGTCAGAATGTGTACAAAAGATCATAGTTGAAGAATGTTTAAAATTAAACATTTAAATGTCTGACATTTCTTTATANTCTTACTTGGAGAGTAATTATCCAATGTCGTCAAAATGTCAAAGATACAATGAAGAACAATTATATTTAACAGTGAAACAATTAGCATTTTCTAAAATATTGTTTCTAAAATTACTTTGTATCTTTTTATTTTTACTTCGAATATTTTTATAATCTGTTCAAAAAATCATATTCGAAAAATATTTATCCAAGGACAAAATCAAAGACAAAATAAAGAACAGAGTTTATTTAACACCGAAGTAATTAACATTTTTCTGTCATAAAATTACGTTATGTCATAAAATTTCTTTACATGCTTTTTTGTTTTGTCAAGATGTATTTCAAAAATCTTACTTGGAGAGTAATTATCCAATGTCGTCAAAATGTCAAAGATACAATGAAGAACAATTATATTTAACAGTGAAACAATTAGCATTTTGAAAAATATTGTTTCTAAAATTACTTTGTATCTTTTTATTTTTACTTCGAATATTTTTATAATCTGTTCAAAAAATCATATTCGAAAAATATTTATCCAAGGACAAAATCAAAGACAAAATAAAGAACAGAGTTTATTTAACACCGAAGTAATTAACATTTTTCTGTCATAAAATTACGTTATGTCATAAAATTTCTTTACATGCTTTTTTGTTTTGTCAAGATGTATTTCAAAAATCTTACTTGGAGAGTAATTATCCAAAGTCGTCAAAATGTCAATGATAGAACAAGAAACAATTTTATTTAACAATGAAAGAATCAATATTTCCCAAAATATTGTTTCTAAATTTCCTCTATGCTTTTTATTTATTCTTTGAACGCTGCATCCAGACGATACTTCCAAAACATTTCCATCCGATTCTATCAGAAAAATCGCGAGTAGAAAAACGTACGCCTAAACAACGAAACCAAAAGCAGCGTAAATAATGATTTCAAGGAATAGCCATCTAATCGAAAGTTCTCCGAGCACATTCTCTACGATCCCTTTACAACTTTCCACTTTTCACTGGAACACTACCAAAATCTTCCCGCGGGAAACTATTTTTAATATCGCGTTCTCGCCTCAACATTTAACCGAAGTTCAAAGCGAAGGATAAATGGAAAAAGTTCAGCCAACGGTCAAACAGGTTGCAAAATGATTTCATATTTTTCTTCCGGGAACACGTTCTCGCTATTTGCCCGGGCTCTGATAAAACAAGTCGGACAGTTTCCGGTGTTATCTCACGAAGCTTCCCGCCGTTTGCCTCGCGCGGTTCAACTTCCAGCTTAACTTTCTTGGCCGCGGTGAAATCGCGACAAATTTTCCATCGGTTTTCCAGCGGCTCGAGAGACCATTTTCTGGATCGTGCTCCGTAACAACGTCGAAGGTGGCCGAGTTAGCGCGATTCGATCGAGCGGCTTTCGGTGACATGTTCACCGTTCGGCGATCGGATTATCGACCCGAGACCGGAACCGCGATGCCCTCGCGTGCACCCACGCGTTTTATTTCGTCGAGAACGAAGGCAGGACGCGGTCCAAAAAGCCGTCCGAATCGAATTTCCCACCGTGGACCGGCATTGTTCGGCCGCCGGGAGAACAACGTCGAACGTTTGTTTTCAGTTGCGACGCTCTCCTTGTCGATTACTTCGGAAAATTGCCCCGTTTGAAAGCGGGCGAGTTATAAAAGCAATTTCTCTCATCGCCGGCTCTAACAACTTTATTGCCTTAACGCTGGATTGCCTGTTCGACGAGTTTCTATCAGTCAAATCAAAGAAAACGACCGATGGAGTCGAGCATGGATGAATTGTCCGCAAACGGGGCATAGGTGTCCCAGTTTCTGTGCCTCCGGATTAAAGACGTATATAAAAGGAAAAGTGTTATTATATGAATTTGTGGCGTCGCATCCCTCTACCTGAGCGCGGCCGCTAGCAATAAAACAAGTACCGTTCCTAATCCTCAAAATTCCCTAAAAAACACGCACGCCTAATAAAACAATTCTCCTCACATCTGGACACCTCGACCCGCACGGGACTTTCCCAACTTTCTCCTTTCCTACGAAAGTCCATCTATTCCTTTCTTCTCTTCCGGTATAAAAGAGACAAACGCGCAACTCCAAAAGCTCAGTCTGTCCTAAGTTG